TCGAACACGTTTGAGGAATGCATTAGAATTATCCCATAAATTTTGTCGGTTTCGCTGAATGCCGTTGTTCCTGTGAAATGTCAAGCATTTTTTTTGTTTTATCGCTTGAAAACAATCACGGACGATGCGACGAACATAAACGATCGGTTTAATGATTCATCGTCAATTTAGACCGGTTATTTCTGACCGACGAGATTTCTTCGTGAGCTGAGAAATGGATTCTTTCCGTCGAGAATTAATTTTTGCGCGAAACAAATTTTGTGATTGAGGTTTTTGCTCGATAAAACGAAAAATGATTTTTTTTGTTATTTTCCGTATTTAAATATAAATATATATATAAATATTTAAATCATTCTACGAATAATGTACGCGTATGTGATTAATTTCTTGTCTTTTGTTAAAAGTAAATATTTTGTCTTTTATATCCTATGTAACAATTCCAATTGATTTTATATATGGACTAATATAACTAATGGACTAATATGTTTTTTAATTTTGATTTTAATCTTGGTCTTAAAAAAAAAAAAAAAAAATAGACAAAATATTTATTTTGCGTGAATAATTGCAGAGAACTGACGTATAATTATATTATGTGCCTAAAATTTTAATTGTACATAACTTAAAAATTAATTTAATTCTCCGTTTATGTTTTAAAATTTTTATCTTCAAATCTGAATTAAAAAAAAAGTATATTTTTTTATGTTTATTTATCACTTGTCTAAATATGAAAATTAATAAAAAAAACAATTTTAAAATCAAATTACAGAAAAATCAAAATATATGTACGTTTTTATAAATTTCAATTAACCTTAAAACAATTATTGATTAAAATACAAAATATATAATGTGTTTAAAGACACAATCTAAAAATAAAAAAAAGATATGTAATAATTATAAATCGACAAAATTTGTGGAATAATACAGTCAATGTGTTTTTATAACACGTTATGAAATTTAGAATTTAGACGCATTCCCTTATAAAACTAAAATTATTCCTTATAAATCGAAATCGAACGATTTGATTCTACGAAATGTGATGAATAGAAGGAATTCGACCACGTATAAAAACGAAAAATAAAACCAGGAATACAGGGTCAATTCGTAGTTTCTATCGAACCCGTTATTTAAACACTATATAGTAGTATCGATTAATTAACATTTTTATAGTATTGTAATTTGATAATTATATTATAGTTGAAAAAAAATATGAAGAAGCTCGTGATACTTGATTTTTTTAAAATATCGTCGAACAAAGACGACAGAAATATTTCAGATCGTAAAAAATTTAATACGCTTTAATAAGAACACGAACATCGAACATTTATCGCGATCGAAATTAAATAACAATGACAATTTACACGTGTAAGAATACACAATTATTCTCACCAATATTTTATACAGTTTCGTGCAAAACCCATTATTGGATCTAATTGAATTTTAATCAAAATAATATAATATTTTGAATCTTTTATTTTAATATTGTTATTTATGAAATATGAACGATATACGCTCGACATTAAAATTAAAAAGATTACTATTTAGTGATCAAAAAATTTCAACTATAATTTCGAAAAGAATCGTATATAATAATCAATCTGGACTCGATTTAAACAACAAAACTTTTATCTTTATTTTATTTATACTTGAATTGTATTATTATAGCATATTTTTTCCTAAAATCACGAAAATCGACAATTTTTCGATCAAAATTTAGTGATTCTTCAATTTTAGCATTGAATATAAACTTGATAATGTAATTTCAAACAAAGAAATATCTCAAATTTATGAATATTCTTAAATAACATTATCGGAAATAATAATTTAAAATATCGTTTAATAATATGAAATAAAATAGCATGTTATTTCATAAATAATATTTCATCAATATTTGGTGGATTTGAGAAAAACATATTCGATGCGTCGCTTCTTCGAAACAAAAATTTTTTCGTTACTACGTAATCATCTATTCCAACTTTTTCATTCGAATATAGTGAAAGATTGTTGCACGATATTGTAAATCACAATAATGCATAAACATTTGCCATAAAATAAAGAATTAGATACATTCAGAATAATTACATTAGAAATCTTTATAAAGATTTAGAAGATTTACAGATTAAAAATTGTATCTAGAGTAAAAAGAAAAAAAAAAAATTGACAAAGAGATAGGAATATAAGCGTAATGATCTCATTTGCTGACGAAGCAATGGAACGAAACGTGAATTCTCGGAAAATTCTTCGGGGTGAGTGAAGGACAAACTTCGTGCGACGCCATTGTTAATTAAGAAAATGGTTTTGCTTTATTACCGAGAATAAAATCTATTTCCAGCATAAACAATGCGACGTAAGCGTTGGAAAATCATATGTCCCTGTTTCCTGAATAGTATTATTAATAATGGAAGAATATGTATCTCGTAATTGAAATATGTTAGAATTTTTGTCTTACTTAACGATATAATCGCTAATTATTAATTCGCAATCATTGTGACCATATAGAAGATTCTGTGTGTATGTGATATCGTTCTATCCAATATCGAACGTGGAAAAAAATTCGGAAAAATTATGATTAAAACCAGTGTTAATGCGCCAAATAAATCTTATTTAACTATATTAATCGTTAGAGGATCAGATTTCGTATTGAGTTGTTCTTTCAATGCTGTCCATTCCTTTTTGCAATGTAATCATTCAATTTCGTTAATATTTTTAATGAACGAATTGAAAATTCCTTTTTTTTTTTTCAATCTTTACTAATTTCTCATCAAATCTTGATTGTTCGATCTATCTGATTAAAAGCATAAAATCTTAAAAAAGGACACATTTTACAGAACAACTCTATGCGTGTAACAATCGTACCAAAAAGAAAAATTAATGTTTAATTATATATAAATGTTCTAATAAAAATATTATAAGAGGAATGTGTATGTTTAAAAAAAATTAGAACAAGATTTCCCTTCGTAACGAATC